CTGGCTTCACAGAACGAGTACTTCCTGGGGTACAAGCAGTCCCGTCGCCGGGAGGACGACATAGCCATTGTGAACGCTGGCTTTAGGGTGAGGTTTCGACCTGGCTCCAGTGAAGTTACCCGCCTCGACCTGGCTTTTGGCGGAATGGCTCCCACCACCGTCTTGGCACTCACCACCATGAAGGTACTCTGCCGGTGTGGGATATTGGTCTGTACAAACTACATGAGGTTGTGTGTGTGTAAAGTGAGAGCATTATGGGGTATTAACCAGGCCATAACATGTTGGAGGTCTTCCTTCAGGAGCTGGTGGGCAAACAGTGGGATCCCTCGCTGCTGGAGGACGCCCTGACTCTCCTACTCCAGGACCTTCCTCTTCCCCCTTCTGCGCCTGGCGGTATGGTGGAGTACCGCCGCGCCCTCACTCTCAGGTAATCTACGTCTCCTTTGGGAGCCAGAGGAGCCATGGAGTGTGTGTTCAGTGTGATTACACAGAACCTGGGTATAAGGAAGATACATTATAGACAATGTGTAATACCCTGCAGGTTAGCTCAAGTGTGTTTGGTGTTCATGAATTATTTTTGTTTTTTGTACACAGTCCAATATGCATGGAAGTTTCTTTTTTTCAGTTTTTTTTTTAAATTTTACCTGAGTGTGAGAGGTCGTTTGAGCGAGTGCCTGCCGGAGGTGGCGGCGCCCCTGACGCAGGAGGAGCAGCGGGCCATCCTCACCCACCCTCACGTTGTGCCCTCCTCCACACAGCTCTTCCAGGTGATTGTTAGTTGTCTTTGGTGATGGTAGAGGTGGGATCGGGGGTGGTCCTTGGAGATAGGAAGAAGTGGGATGTCCTGGGAGACGGGAGAGGGGAGTGGGTTGTCCTGGGAGACGGGAGAGGGTGCGTGGGTTGTTCTGAGAGAGAGTAGGATGTTCTGGGAGACGGGAGAGGGTGAGTGGGTTGTCCTGGGAGACGGGAGAGGGTGCGTGGGTTGTTCTGAGAGAGGGTAGGATGTTCTGGGAGACGGGAGAGGGTGAGTGGGTTGTCCTGGGAGACGGGAGAGGGTGCGTGGGTTGTTCTGAGAGAGGGTAGGATGTTCTGGGAGACGGGAGAGGGTGAGTGGGTTGTCCTGGGAGACGGGAGAGGGTGAGTGGGTTGTTCTGGTAGACGGGAGAGGGTGAGTGGGTTGTTCTGGTAGACGGGAGAGGGTGCGTGGGTTGTCCTGGGAGACGGGAGAGGGTGCGTGGGTTGTTCTGAGAGAGGGTAGGATGTTCTGGGAGACGGGAGAGGGTGAGTGGGTTGTCCTGGGAGACGGGAGAGGGTGAGTGGGTTGTCCTGGGAGACGGGAGAGGGTGAGTGGGTTGTCCTGGGAGACGGGAGAGGGTGAGTGGGTTGTCCTGGGAGACGGGAGAGGGTGCGTGGGTTGTCCTGGGAGACGGGAGAGGGTGCGTGGGTTGTTCTGAGAGAGAGTAGGATGTTCTGGGAGACGGGAGAGGGTGAGTGGGTTGTCCTGGGAGACGGGAGAGGGTGCGTGGGTTGTTCTGAGAGAGAGTAGGATGTTCTGGGAGACGGGAGAGGGTGCGTGGGTTGTCCTGGGAGACGGGAGAGGGTGCGTGGGTTGTTCTGAGAGAGGGTAGGATGTTCTGGGAGACGGGAGAGGGTGAGTGGGTTGTCCTGGGAGACGGGAGAGGGTGAGTGGGTTGTTCTGGTAGACGGGAGAGGGTGAGTGGGTTGTTCTGGTAGACGGGAGAGGGTGCGTGGGTTGTCCTGGGAGACGGGGAGAGGGTGCGTGGGTTGTTCTGAGAGAGGGTAGGATGTTCTGGGAGACGGGAGAGGGTGAGTGGGTTGTCCTGGGAGACGGGAGAGGGTGAGTGGGTTGTCCTGGGAGACGGGAGAGGGTGAGTGGGTTGTCCTGGGAGACGGGAGAGGGTGAGTGGGTTGTCCTGGGAGACGGGAGAGGGTGCGTGGGTTGTCCTGGGAGACGGGAGAGGGTGCGTGGGTTGTTCTGAGAGAGGGTAGGATGTCCTGGGAGACGGGAGAGGGTGCGTAGGTTGCTCTAGGTCACAGGGGTCTCCAAACTATGGCCCGCGGGCCACATCCGGCCCTCCAAACAAATCCCTGTGTGGTGGCCTTGAAAAAATAATTATCGTACGCTACTTGAAGGCCAGGTGAAGGTTAAGAATTTTGCTCATTTTCCATGTTGTGAAAAATTTCATGCAGAAAGTAAAGTTGAATTTCCTTTTTCATTTGCAAATGAAATAATTTCAGATTTGAAAAAACAGTTTCAGAAGCGATTTGCTGACCTTGATGCCAAAGCAAATGAAATCAGGCTCTTTCATAATCCATTTGACTGCAATGCTGAAAATCTTCCAACTCAATTTCAAATGGAAATTATTGATCTCCAGGCAGATGACAGACTGAAAGATAAGTATAGAGAAGGAAATCTGATTGAGTTTTATAAATGCCTGCAGCCAGATCAGTTTCCAAATTTGATAAAGTTTGCTTGTAGTTTTGTGTCCATTTTTGGTTCAACATACTTGTGTGAACAAACTTTTTCCAAAATGAAGTATGTGAAATCTAACTATCGAGCAAATTTGTCTGATGATCACTTGAAATCAATTCTTACAATTGGCTCATCTAATCTGGAACCTGATTTTAATGAAATTTTGAAGTCAAAACGACAGTATCATTCGTCACACTAATTTGGTTGCATAAAACTAAAGGCAGGAATCGATTTAGTTTACCCTGATTTTTTCCAAAAAAATATGTTTTAATTTTTCCATGTTTATACTTTAATATTTGAGGAAATTAAATTACTGGCACTGATTTGTTTTTTGTTTTTTTTTTTTCATTTTTTATTCCTCCGGCCCGCATAAATATGGGAAATATATAATGTGGCCCTTACATTGACAAGTTTGGAGACCCCTGCTGGTCTAGGAGACGGGAGAGAGTGCGTGGGCTGCTCTAGGAGACGGGAGAGGGTGCGTGGGTGGTCCTGGGAGACGGGAGAGGGTGCGTGGGCTGCTCTAGGAGACGGGAGAGGGTGCGTGGGTTGTTATAGGAGACGGGAGAGAGTGCGTGGGTTGTTATAGGAGACGGGAGAGAGTGCGTGGGTTGTTATAGGAGACGGGAGAGAGTGCGTGGGTTGTTATAGGAGACGGGAGAGAGTGCGTGGGTTGTTATAGGAGACGGGAGAGAGTGCGTGGGTTGTTATAGGAGACGGGAGAGAGTGCGTGGGTTGTTCTAGGAGACGGGAGAGGGTGCGTGGGTGGTCCTGGGAGACGGGAGAGGGTGCGTGGGCTGCTCTAGGAGACGGGAGAGGGTGCGTGGGTTGCTCTAGGAGACGGGAGAGGGTGCGTGGGTTGCTCTAGGAGATGGAAGAGGGTGCGTGGGTTGCTCTAGGAGATGGGAGAGGGTGCGTGGGTTGCTCTAGGAGACGGGAGAGAGTGCGTGGGTTGCTCTAGGAGACGGGAGAGGGTGCGTGGGTTGCTCTAGGAGATGGGAGAGGGTGCGTGGGTTGCTCTAGGAGACGGGAGAGAGTGCGTGGGTTGCTCTAGGAGACGGGAGAGGGTGCGTGAGTTGTTCTAGGAGACAGGAGAGGGTGCGTGGGTTGTTCAGAGAGACGGGAGAGGGTGCATAGGTTGTCCTGAGAGACGGGAGAGGGTGCATGGATTGTCCTGAGAGACGGGAGAGGGTGCATGGATTGTCCTGAGAGACGGGAGAGGGTGCATGGATTGTCCTGGGAGACGGGAGAGGGTGCATGGATTGTCCTGAGAGACGGGAGAGGGTGCATGGATTGTCCTGAGAGACGGGAGAGGGTGCATGGATTGTCCTGAGAGACGGGAGAGGGTGCATGGATTGTCCTGAGAGACGGGAGAGGGTGCATGGATTGTCATGGGAGACGGGAGAGGGTGCATGGATTGTCCTGGGAGACGGGAGAGGGTGCATGGATTGTCCTGGGAGACGGGAGAGGGTGCATGGATTGTCCTGAGAGACGGGAGAGGGTGCATGGATTGTCCTGGGAGACGGGAGAGGGTGCATGGATTGTCCTGGGAGACGGGAGAGGGTGCATGGATTGTTCTGGGAGACGGGAGAGGGTGCATGGATTGTCCTGGGAGACGGGAGAGGGTGCATGGATTGTCCTGGGAGACGGGAGAGGGTGCATGGATTGTCCTGGGAGACGGGAGAGGGTGCATGGATTGTCCTGGGAGACGGGAGAGGGTGCATGGATTGTCCTGGGAGACGGGAGAGGGTGCATGGATTGTCCTGGGAGACGGGAGAGGGTGCATGGATTGTTCTGGGAGACGGGAGAGGGTGCATGGATTGTCCTGGGAGACGGGAGAGGGTGCATGGATTGTCCTGGGAGACGGGAGAGGGTGCATGGATTGTCCTGGGAGATGGGAGAGCATACATGGGTATGCCTGAAAAAGGAGGAATAATACCCAGGGAAGATATCGGCGAAGGTAATATTTTCTTAAATCTTTCAAAGACGTTTTCTCTTGCAACTGGGGCTCCAGGATCCGTCGTGTTATTATTTACCAACTCCCGGGAGTTTAGACCAACACCTGTCTAGCATGGTTCCCATTGTCACGGACAGGTTTACAAACATTTTCCTGGGTGAACAACTGACACAGGATGCAGTCCACAACAGTTGCCTAATTCCCAGGGTCCGACTTACTGGTAGGTGAACAGACAAGGCGGGTGAAGGAAACACGCTCAAGTGTTTCGGTTATGCTGCGGAAATTTTGTATGAATTTTTTGTTTATCATATCGAGTAAAATGTACAGAAATAAATAAATTGTCTATTAAGAGTTAGCCTTAAAATTTATACTTTCTCTATTTTGAAAATTAGAGAAAATTCTATGTAAATAGGAGTAACTAAAAGAAAAGGTTAAAATAAATGACTTGCACATTACTACTAATAATAATAATAATCTTTATTCAAAATAATGCGTGCACAAAGAACATAAGAGTAATGTATAACTGTTGGGACAGGAGTTACAAATACTAATGAAGCCACAATTACGCAAAACGTTTCGAGCAAAACATTTATTAACTATTCTGACACTAAACAAATCTTTCTAATGTCTTTATGGCTCATTTTGACACTCAATTTCCACCTGTGTGTGCGTGTGTGTGTGTGAGTAATATATGTAGCAGGTATCGGAATATATGTCAGGAGTCAGTACATTAGACAACCGACGGTCAGAAAGGCGGGGACCCAGAGCTAACAGCTCGATTCTGCAGGCACAATTGGTAAACACACACACACACACGCACACACACACACACACACACACACACACACACACACACACACACACACACACACACACACACACACACACACACACACACACACACACACACACACACACACACACACACACACACACACACACACACACACACACACACACACACACACACACACACACCATCAAATGTATCATCACGTCCTGCTGGCAGAGAAATAAATTTGTCCTCTGCAGGTGCGCGGTGGACAGAACTCTGGGGACCCCATCGGGCGCCCCATAACTCACATCTCTGCACTGAAGCAGGCGACGGGGGAGGCGGTGTATGTGGACGACATGCCCACCTTCACCAGAGAACTCCAGGCTGCCCTCGTCCTCTCCTCCAGAGCTCACGCCCACATTCTCGCCATTGACGAGTCTGAAGCGCTGAAGGTGGACGGCGTCGAGAGATTTTTCTGCGCAAGGGATCTCCCAGGCAAGTTGTAACTACCTGTTTATGTTAATATAATTGAATAATTCAATGTTTATTTTTACGTGAAAAATATACATTGTTTATTTTTCTATATCTGTAAATTCTATTGGATGGATCTATATCTGTAAATTAGAATGTCGATCTGTCTGTCTGCCAAGGTTGAAGGCCTAACAAAGAAGCCAACCTCGCCCAATTTTGGCAGGCCGACAGAACCTGGAAGGCAGACAGAAAATCCCACAAGGGAATCCCACCAGGGAATCCACCCGGGAATCCCACCAAACCATTATTAATGTTCCATTTTATTACTGTATGTCAAAATTTGTATGAGGAATGAAATTATTTATTCACATCAGCTTTTAAAAACTTTTATTTTTTCCACTAGTACACTGATGTATTTTTCCTGCAACAGGAAAGAGGAACGCAACCGGTGGTATTATCTTTGACGAAGAGGTTTTTGCCTCAGAAAAAGTAACGTGTGTAGACCAGGTGGTAGGCCTAGTTGTGGCCAAGGACAAGGCCACTGCCCTCAGAGCAGCGAGGCTCGTCAAGATACATTATCAAGATATCCAACCACCTATAATCACCATTCAGGTACCTGCTTGTTAAGGCAAATTTATTCAATTCTTAAAAAGAAAGCAATTGTCGTTTAATGCCACTTGGCAGAACAATTGGTGATAATTGTACAAAAAGCTGTATAAATCATTGACAGGACGCCATCGAGGCGAAGTCTTGGTGGGATCCGTGGACTATACGCAGTGGTGATCTGGAGACGGCCTTCAGCACCGCAGACCATGTGCTAGAGGGCGAGATGTATCTGGGAGGTCAGGAACATTTCTACATGGAGACAAATGCCTTCATTGCTGTGCCTAAATGTGAAGATGGGGAAATGGAGCTGTTTTCGTCGTGTCAAAACCCCGCCAAGACTCAGGAACTGGTCGCCAGGGCCCTTGATGTACCCAGAAACAGGGTCGTTTGCCGGGTTAAGAGGATTGGTGGAGGTTTTGGCGGGAAGGAGACGAGGTCCAGCGTCGTCTCGCTTCCAATTTGTGTTGCTGCTGCCGCGTGAGTATTGTTTACAAGTTAACATTTTAGCGTTTCTCCTTCTTAAAGGAGCGAGAAAAGATATAATCTGGGCTCGATGCATTTATTCCATTAATATGGTCCAACCACTTTGGGTGGACGATAGTGCGACGGTCTCGCTTCATGCAGGTCGGCGTTCAATCCCCGACCGTCCAAATGCTTGGGCACATTTCTTACTCCTGTCCCATCCCAAATCCTTATCCTGACCCCTTCCAAGTGCTATATAGTCATAATAGCTTGGTGCTTTCTCCTCACTGTTCTGTTCTACTCCATCCATATACATCTTCTCTCCTCTGTGCTGTTCCAGATATCCTCATCTCCCTCGCTAGTCGTATATAGCCGTACTGACATGAAGCAGTCTCTTCATACTTACCTTACCTCTTACATCGATATGTGTAATACATTCTGAGTATATGTTCAAGAAATAATTCATATCTAATTTCATGCGTATGTTTTGTTTTAAGCATATTTTAGATATTGTCAGTTTTTGTTTGCTATCCGTATATACTGTTTCTACTCGAATATATTTCTACGGTTATCTTGAGGTTATCTTGAGATGATTTCGGGGCTTTTTAGTGTCCCCGCAGCATGGTCCTTGACCAGGCCTCCACCCCTAGGAAGCAGTCCGTGACAGCTGACTAACACCCAGGTACCTATTTTACTGCTAGGTAACAGGGGCATATGGTGAAAGAAACTCTGCCCATTGTTTCTCGCCGGCGCCTGGGATCGAACCCAGGACCACAGGATCACAAGTCCAGCGTGCTGTCCGCTCGGCCGACCGGCTCCCTTTTACGGTAGGATGTATGAGCTTAGGTTAGGTTGTGTTAGGGTCTTTTGGGTCAAGTTAGATTGGTTTTGATTAGGTTAGGTAAAGTTAGGTTTTCAGATCCATTGGTGAACTATCTTCTGTATATGTTCTTTTCTTCCTATTGTGGGGTGCTGTACAGGGGTCTGGTCGTTTCAATCATGAGAATTAGCCGAAGCTCATTTTTTTAGTTTGTTAAAACCGTGTATATTTCTATGCTAAAATATATTAGCTTATCTTAAACTGTATTTCGCTCGGTGGGTTAGGTTAGTTTGGGTTAGTTTGAGCTTGGGTTAAGTTAAGAAAGTTTCCAAATCCCTTGGCGAATAGCCTTGTGTACGATGCTACTTGTATCCGTGTTGTACATGCTGCCATGGCGGTATGGTCACTCACAGGATGAGTGACACTGCCCAATACTGTCACTATGGCAGTATGATCACTACAAATAAACTCACCACTTGGAGCTAAATAATTTTATTTTTATTTTTAAATTGTGCCTGCAGGTTGGGACGTCCAGTACGCATTATGCTGGACCGGGACACAGACATGGTGGTAACAGGAGGCAGGCACCCATTCCTGTGTCGCTGGAGAGTGGCCTTCACTAGCCAAGGCAAGCTTCTGGCCCTCGAGGCCGACCTCTATGCCAACGGTGGCTGCTCCTACGATCTGTCATCTTCGATTGTTCAGAGAGCCATGTTCTTCATTGACAATGCCTACAAGTGGGTGAAGATTTGATTTTTGATTCCTCCTGTAATTTAGGAAATGGGGAGGTAATTGGGGAAAACCGCCTCTTTGACTGGACGGTAGAGCGACGGTCTCTCTTCGTGCAGGTTGGCGTTCAATCCCCGACCGTCCAAGCGCTTGGGCACCATTCCTTACCCCCGTCCCATCCCAGATCCTTATTCTGACCCCCTTCCAAGTGCTATAAACTCGTAATGGCTTGGCGCTTTCCCCTGATAATTAAAAAAAAATTGCGTTTCGTTATGAATTTCTGAAAGGAAATTGTAAGTTTGCCAAGCCCATATCTCACAATTTTGTTTATTTAACGAGCACCTATTTCAGAAATACTGTATAAAATCAGTTCAATTCTGACATTGATTTCCAACAGTATTTTGGCTAAATACTCAATACGATAATATTGTATTACACAGCCCAACCTAGATTAATGCTAATGAGGCGGGGCCCAATAGTTGGAGCTCGTTCTATTCAAACCCATATGATAAGCATGCTCAGTAAACGGGTGCATGTTCACATTCCATTCTCTGCCATTTGATTTAATTTGAACAACAAAATATGCAAACATTTTCCGTTGTAACCACAGAATATAAAACTTTCATCATATTTTTATAATCTAGTTATATATAGATACAAAATTATTTGTTACAAATTTAATTGTTATTAAATATTGCGTTTAGTAGTTGTGTAGGAGCGTAAGTGATTATGGGCTATTCGGCCCAAGCCATCTCTTGGATGGCTTAATCTTCAATAATCAATTAATCAACATAAGTGATATTATACATGTCCGTGCTTGCTTGCCAGGTGGGAGGCGCTGCGGGTCACCGGCTACGCCTGCAGGACCAACCTTCCCTCCAACACCGCCTTCAGGGGCTTTGGCGGACCTCAGGGCATGATGTTTACTGAGGACGTTGTGTCGCGAGTCGCCGCCTTCCTCAAGATTGATGCTGTTCAGGTGGGTGTCATTGGTACCTTGAGCTCGTCCTGCCGGCTGTCGGTGTGTCCTGGCTGCTGTCCGTGTGTCCTGGCGGCTTCGGGTGTCCTGTGCTCCCCGTCGGTGTGTCCTGGTTGCTGCCACCATATATATCCAGGATACTACCACTGTTTATTTTATTTTCACAACTTATTTGTAAACAGAACTATGCATATTGGTTTAGGTGGTCGACAGGTTCCTCCGTGTCGTAATTAGTGTGATCATTAGGTCACTACATAACCTGTCTGTGCATGACAGGTTATGTGGTGAGTTAATGATCACCAGTTACTACACGGTAGTCACTTTGCTTGACTCGCAAGACAATCTAAGATGAGGTGACTTGAGTGATGTGTTGGCAGGTGAGGGAGAAGAACCTGTACGCGAGCGGGGATACGACCCACTTCACACAGGTGCTGGAGCGATGTACCGTCGGCCGCTGCTGGCGAGAGGTCCTCCTTCAAGCTAACTACCAATCCCGTGCGGCTGAGATTGATCACTTTAACAGGTGAGCTACACGCCTTTTGTGACTGTCAGAGGCTATGGTGCTGCTTTGATTGGGATGGCAAGGGGGTGGGGTAACACCTTCGGCCAGGATCTTTCCCAGCATCAACACCAGGTATGAGTGCTCCTAATTCAATAATAACATTTGGGTTTATTGTTGGACTAGGATCACTCGAAGACTAACTTACAACAGGTGTTAAATCACGCCATCGTGCTTGTTGGAACACCTGTAGTAACACCTGAACCTAGATTCACGAAGCTCCATGTATTTCTTCGTAAGTATGTTTGCTATGAAGGTTCCTAATTATGCGCTAAGAAGATGCTTACGTGCGATTCAGGAAGGTATTCTTATGAAGATATTTGGGGTTTGGGTGTGGTTCACCTGCATGCCGACAGAGGTCACTACTGTGTTTCGTTTGTCCAATCAGAGAGCAGGCAACATTCTTCATCATGAAGATTTAGCCAGTCACGAGGCTGGCTTATCGGAGCTCTACTGCCCCCTATTTAAAATCAAAATCAAAAAATCAAAATGTTTATTTAGGTAAGGTACATACATAAAAGAGATTTTACAGAGAGTGATGGAGTTATAGTTAGGGCTAGTACATACAATGCCTAAAGCCACTATTACGCAAAGCGTTTCGGGTATAGCAAAGTCTAATAGCATAGCAATTAAGTCTAATTGTCTTATAAAATTAGTATATTTCGAAGTAAAACTGTGTTTTTTTCAACTTCTACAGCCAGCACCGACATTGTCGTAAACAAATATGTTACATTTGTTGTTTACCTATGTGATTCTAAGAGATAATGTGTAGCTGTCCTTGTTGCTCGGAAGATACACCGACAATTATTGTATATATTTACTGAATTTATCCAAGGGCCACTAACTATCTAGTGGCCTCGACGAGGACAGAAAGCCGGCGGCTTGTTAAAGGGCCCGCCAATTGTCTTAATGATATTTTTTAGCTGGAATTTGGCATTTACCATTTAAGCAGGTAGGCAGTTCCATGGGTATATAACCCTCTTGGTGGAAAAAAACATCTGTTTTCAGTCCTACTTCAGAGAACATACTATCCAACACTATATATGTGATTGCCCTGTTATCAGTGACTTCATACCAAATGGTATGAGGTACTTTGAGCGCTGTAATTACTTCATACACTAAGGAATATTGGAAGATATTCTTGTGCTGCACCCAGATTTTGCCAGTGGAGGCTAATAGATCAACCATAAATATTTTGTTCTCTCCTGATTCCATATATGGCTGGCCGTCATGTGAGGGGGGGATGTTGGATGAGCTTGTAGCTGGTTTTTGATCTACACTGTGTGGTTCTTCATACAGAATATAGAAGCAGCACATTGCTGTGAATACCTAAGCATGTTAAAAAAATACATGGTTTGAGAGGAGTCTTGTAGAAACTGGTAAGAGTAATTATAATATAATGTTTCCATGATTCAGTGCTTACCTCTTGTGAAAATCGTGAAGGGCTTGTTTAGTCAGAGTTGATTTGTGCTTTTTATTGAGTTTGGTATTTCCTCCCTTGATTCTATGTATCCCTAACCATCCTCTGAGATGGGAGTACAGTATTGACCTGCCCGAAACGCTGCGCGTGCTAGTGGCTTTACATGACTGTAATTACCATATTTGTATCCTCACATTCCTTATGTACATTCTTGTATATGCATAAATAAAAATAAAATAAAATAAAAATATTAGATGAACTTACAGCTAGTTTTTTATCTACATTGTGTAATCTTCCATATAGAATAGGGTAGCAGCACATTACTGTGTATACCTGAGCTTCTTAATACATAAATGTCAGTAATAAAGATTTTAAATTATAGTTTGTAGTATTACCAATATTATGCATATTAAATCATGTTAACCATGGATCATTAAGATCTCATGTTGATATGTAATAGTCATATTTCTTTTGAATCATTCATTAAATTGTGCATTATGTCTCAATTTTTCACTTCTTTGGATATACTGTATAGTACAAAGAGATAGGATAAAAATAAACCAGTAATATTTATTTCATTATATTGTTTATTTAAAAACTGCATCAATATTTTTACAGCTTTGATATCCCCAGAGTCAAACTTAATCTGTGTAAACACTATGCAAATAAAGGGACCTAGTCAATGGAACTCACTCCCTAATGAGTTTAAAAGCTGTCCAACTTTCGTCTCATCCAAAAACAAAAACAAAAAGTACCTAATTTCATATTCATAGTTTCCTACCTTGTGCTTTATTCAGAATTCTATATTTGCCTCAGAGCAGAAGTTGGTAAACACATTGGGCAAAATCTTACAGAAGCGCCCATATGAGTCATACATACTCATACTCCATCCAAGTAGAACGGAAACAAGTAACACTTTGTGGGCCAGCCAGAGGCTTAGGGCCCACACAGGAATATCCCATATATATATATATATATATATATATATATATATATATATATATATATATATATATATATATATATATATATATATATATATATATATATATATATATATGCGAACAAGCCTGAATGGTCCCCAGGACAATATGCAACTGAAAACTCACACCCCAGAAGTGACTCGAACCCATACTCCCAGGAGCAATGCAACTGGTATGTACAAGACGCCTTAATCCACTTAACCATCACGACCGGACATAATGAGGTGATAGCCTAGGCTATTTGAACCACCCCACCGCCGGCACTCGGATAGTAATCTTGGGCATAGCATTTTACCAAATCACCTCATTCTTTGGGGCACACGTGAGGAACACAAATGCGAACAAGCCTGAATGGTCCCCAGGACAATATGCAACTGAAAACTCACACCTCAGAAGTGACTCGAACCCATACTCCCAGGAGCAATGCAACTGGTATGTACAAGACGCCTTAATCCACTTGACCATCACGACCGGACATAATGAGGTGATAGCCGAGGCTATTTGAACCACCCCACCGCCGGCACTCGGATAGTAATCTTGGGCATAGCATTTTACCAAATCACCTCATTCTTTGGGGCACACGTGAGGAACACAAATGCGAACAAGCCTGAATGGTCCCAAGGACAATATGCAACTGAAAACTCATTCGCATTTGTGTTCCTCACGTGTGCCCCAAAGAATGAGGTGATTTGGTAAAATGCTATGCCCAAGATTACTATCCGAGTGCCGGCGGTGGGGTGGTTCAAATAGCCTCGGCTATCACCTCATTATGTCCGGTCGTGATGGTCAAGTGGATTAAGGCGTCTTGTACATACCAGTTGCGTTGCTCCTGGGAGTATGGGTTAGAGTCACTTCTGGGGTGTGAGTTTTCAGTTGCATATTGTCCTGGGGACCATTCAGGCTTGTTCGCATTTGTGTTCCTCACGTGTGCCCCAAAGAATGAGGTGATTTGGTAAAATGCTATGCCCAAGATTACTATCCGAGTGCCGGCGGTGGGGTGGTTCAAATAGCCTCGGCTATCACCTCATTATGTCCGGTCGTGATGGTCAAGTGGATTAAGGCGTCTTGTACATACCAGTTGCGTTGCTCCTGGGAGTATGGGTTTGAGTCACTTCTGGGGTGTGAGTTTTCAGTTTTATATATATATATATATATATATATATATATATATATATATATATATATATATATATATATATATATATATATATATATATAATATATATAAATATATATATATATATATATATATATATATATATATATATATATATATATATATATATATATATATATATATATATATATATATTGTGACGATAATCTCTTTCAAGAGAGATTGAGCCTGCTCTTCTCTACATCAAGTTACGTACATTATACAACAATAAGATGCTACCTTCAAGATACGTCTACCAGTAGCACAAAACGTTTGGACCAAGAGGCAAACGTACCCAAGACTCAACCCCTTCTCCACACTCCCTCCACGCCGGCTCGTCATCAACCAGCCAACTACCCTTCCCAGCCTGCCTGCTCCTGATTGGTGACTCGCCGACTGCACACCTGCACTTCTGCACCTCAGTGTTCCCTACCTGAGTCGATGTCTGGGCTTGAACCAGCCATGGAAGTCAGAATATCCTTGTGCTCTCAAGCTGTGAACAACTAACTGATATACGCTGTGTATCAGGTGAATGTTTCTCAGCTAGCGCCATATTCTCGGCACCTGATTGTTTTTCACTGTGTATTTATATTATTGTAGAGTAACTTCATCCCAATTCTTCATTTATATTATATGTTTTTGACGTGTTTGTTTGCATTGTACATAGCCAAGGGATTGTCTTTGTTTTTAATTTGTTTTCTATATTAATTAAAGTTTCATTGTTCATACTATGTGTTTTGCGTGTCTTCCCTTACTTTACCATAGATAAATAGGCAAGCAGTCTATCTTTTTTTTTTAAGTGTGACTAGGCATTGACACCTGCCATTGGAGGACTGCCGAACATCTACACTCCTACACTTTCCCGTCACATTTAATGGGGGCCTGTACTAGGAGCCTCACTCAGGCACTAGTACTAGAACATCAATTTGTGGTAAGTGTACTTGGCTTTGATACAGTTGCTTTTCAATATTTTCATTTCTTTTAATATTTATATGGTGTTGTGTGTATTGTGCATTCCGAGAGTAGCATATTGTGAGTGTTGGATAACTTTGGATTACGTGGTGACTGGAGGCCTCAGTCATTATCTTAATTGGTCATCCCTCCCTCCGTGTTATTACTCGTGTTTACCACCTTTTGTCCTTAGGATATTTCTCAATCTCAGACAGATCATCATTTTGGGTACCCTGGCACTTTGGTTTGTCTTTGGGTCAAAGCACTCTATCTTCTGCAATCCGACCGAAGGAGGATAAGAGGGCCATAGTTCCTCTAGCATGGACTACGTTGCTGAGTTGGGACCTCAACAGCAGTTCTCGTCACCAGTTGACACTCGCACCCCTACACGTCGGTCAGAGATGATGATATTTACTTAGGTAGGGAATTAGCTTTCTTTTTTCAGAGCACAAAG